AGGAGATTTCAGATCTAAAACTTATATTGAAAAGATACCATTTACAGCCCCAGGTAATGTAATCTATAACTGGTTACCTATTCCAGATGTGGTAACTTTTTTGGCACAAACCTGAAGTACACTTCAGTACACTGAAGCACCTTCAGTACACTATATTTCTTGTTATTTGTTACTCAAGCTACATTTGAAATCTAATGTATACTTGCTAAAATGATTTAAAAGGCTCCATGTTCTAGTGAAGCACCTTGAGGAGTCACTTCGGACTTTACAGCTTTAACAAAGAGTGGATTTTGGTGTGAATCACCAAAGAGCCCCCTGTAATTTGTGTGGCCCTGCAGATCAGTCAGAACACCCTGGTATGTGATGGGGAGTACTTGAATGGGTCGTCCCCATTCTGTTTCAATGGTACTTGAAAACTGCACCTTGAAGATTGTGAGGAAACACAGCAGAAAGAACAGAAAGAAATGAAATTCTGAGGGTAAATTTATCTAAGTGGATGAGATAGGTAGTAAGAAGAAATACTGTAATATAAGATAGGGGACACTGCAGAAACTTTGAAAGATGGGCAGTGGAAACAACCAAGGAAAGTTTCCAAACAAGGAAAGGACGGAAGGGAATGGCAGAGTGTGAGTAAGGTGAACTCTGCAGTAGCATGTAGATAGATGCAAAATTGACCTTCAGATTGTGTTCCAGTTTATATGGAATAATATTAATTATATGAAATAATATTCCAGAATATTTCCAGTKATGAAGTTCAGTAGTTCTCCCATAGTTTATCAGCCTCACTACTGAGGTGCTTAATGTCTTTGTATTAAGTGTTGGCTTTTTGTCTTGGTTGCAGTGTCAGTTGTCCCAGTGTGTCTTGTATCCTTTGAGTGCCACATTTACTGTGAGTAACATTCATGATAATAGTTTCACACAGATAGAGCCTGGAAACCTGCCAGATATTTTTACTTGTACTTTTTGAATGCTCATGTGATTTTGCAGATATTTATTAGCAGTTTTACTACTTTCAGGATTTTTTGCAGTTCATTTGCAAAGTGGTTGATCCAGTGCTRTTACGTATACTTTTTTCTAATTAACTGACTTAATCCTATAACACAGGATGACACAATATGAGGTATCTTGAGCCTTCAGATAAAATAGTGCACTTTTGAAATCAAAATGTATCAAATGCAGAAGAGTAAGTGCTTGAAGGTATGTTTTATTGAATATAAAAAATTAAAGCTAGAACAATGTGACTCTTGAAATGGAGAAAAGTTAAAACTCTTGTGTGATCTAAATTAAATAGGAAGGTTTGAAAACAAGTATGTSGTGAGCCCAGTAAGTTCTTGGAAGGACTAGATTTTACTCCAGTTTTACTTTTCCAGGTGAACAGCTTTCAAAGATACCTTCACATTAACAAACCTGGTATATTCCCCCATATGTCCCTAAGGAAATTTCTTTCTCTCTGTCACCTCTGAGACTTGACTTTGTGGCTGTTTCCCACTGCAAATAAGACATTTATCCAAGAGCAAAACTAACAATATATTTGTTAAAATTTTCTATACAAAGAAACATATAGACCATCAAAAAAAAAAAAAAAAAAAAAACAGAAAAAAACCCCACATTCCGTCAAGCAAATGGATTTTTATCATCCCCACATCCCCAGCTATTCCAAAGAAAAGATAATTTCGGAAGCATGAGAATATGTGTTCAGAGAAACACGTAACAGTGCAAATATCAAGGAAAATAAGACTAAGAGAAGCAAAGTATGTGTTGTATAGACAAGAAAACACATTTGCTAAAGAGTACTATAGAGCTCCATAACAAAGCTATAAAGGAAAAAAAAAAAGTGCCTGTGAGTGCATAGTGATTAGTAAGGAGTAGCTGGAATTGAAGAGTATATGATTTAGATTTAGAAGAGTGGATTTAGGAAGGAAAAAAAAAAGGCAGGAAAAGATATGAAAATCTTCTAAATTGAGTACACAAATGTCTTTTTGTGTGACTAAACTGCACTTAAGATAGTTCTGTTTTTTGTAACTGATCTTATGCATCTTTTGCTGATTGTGCTTTTTTTTCACATTGTACATTTTTGTATTGCACTGCATAAGTTTGAAAATAGAAGTCATCCAAGCAGGGAGAAATGCGTGTGCCTTAATATTTTAGTGGGAAGTATGTGGATGTTTAACTCCTTGCTCTTTTTTTAAATTTATGGTAGTTTTTTAATTATTATTAATTTACTCTCATTTATAGTAAGAATTTCTTGAAAAATTCCATAGAAAATTCTGCACTATTCTTTAGGAGAATATATTCTCCTAAACAAAATTCTGAGACAAATTCTGATGACTATTGAAGAAGTTTCTGATAGACGTACCTGCTTCAGATTCAGGAGCTTCTCAAATTGAAGATTTGAATGTCAATTTTTTGAACGTTGATGTTTCTGAAGAGATATCTTTAATGACTCTCTGGGATGCGGATCTTTATTTCTTTTAAATTAAACCAGGGAGAAAATCTGTGATCCTTATCATTCATCATGACAGTTTGGTTCTGGCCAGGCTACTTTACTTTCCCACCTGCAAAGGTGATTTCTTATCCACTTCTCCTTCCAGTGACCAGGTTCATCTTTGCAGGTGGGGAGCCCTCCTTCACAAAGCTGAATTTCTCTGATGAGATTTGTTAGACTCTGAACAAAGTCCAATCCTGTTTCCTGGYCTATGCTTATGTGTGTTTTTAGAATTCAAAGTGATACTACATTTGAAAATGCCCATGAACTTTCTCTAAATATCTCCAAACAACCTTCAGTTTGAGAATAAAACACAACTGAGCTCAGATATGTAGCTTTCATTTTTGACCTATCTTTGCAAATAATATTCAGTTTCAAATGATATTTTATTTATTTTTAATTCTCTGATACCAGAAGCCTAAGTGAATGCAGCATGACTGTAACTGAAAGACAATTTTCCAAGGAATACAGGATAGAACAGAGCCCAAATTGAATCTGATTTTAAAAATATTTACCCCTGCTTTGTTCCTGCTATGACATAATCTACAGATTATATGATTTGAGCTTTCATTCATTTCTGGAACCGAGTGATTGCTGGTATCACTAGAACCTTTCTCAAGGCTAGACAATCTTATGTAAAAACAGTAACCTTTTGTATAACTATGTGATAGCCCTCTCTAGCCCCTGCTGCATTGACCAGACAAATGGGCAGAATAATGGGAAACCTGCCTGTTTTGAAGATGGTGATGTTTGCAGGAAAATAATAAGGCTGTTCACTTCACAATTGCATGTTTCTCTTGTCTTCTTATTTGGCACAACTGATGTCACATCCAGTATTGCACTTGGAGTCTTCACTGATGTTGGCACATTTTTTATTACAGATGTTAGGTATTCTTCATCCATACAAGCTTGAGTCTTAGGTATATGTTTAGTGGTTATCACATTACTTCATTCATAATGTATTGGCTTATCAAATTTCATCATTGCCTAGAGGAATATGGGCTCATTTTCAAAATGACACAGTGAATTAAAACTGTGGTGAATTATTTAATAAAGGAGAAGGCATGGAGTGGGTTGGAAAGACAGAAAGCAGAGAGACATCTTCTTGCATTTGAAGAAAATGTACTAATTTCTAGAGATTCTGTGATTCAGCATAAAGATTATAATAGGCTGCATTTAGAATTAAACGATTTAAACTGTGAAACAGTGAAGCATACACAATCTTGATGGTCGAAACAGAGAGTGTATTTTGGGCAGTACATGCAATTGTTCCTCTCAAGAAACTTTCAGTATTAAATAGKACAGTCCATGTGCACAAGCAGATCTGTTTTAGTGGTGAGAACAGCTATTTATATAACACACAAGTGAGATTTCATACGGCTATCCTAATCTCAAGTGTTTTCTTTTCTCAAGTCTACTCTGCTTAAGAGGATCTGATGATTTTTATCTTCTTTTTACTCTAAAAACATACAAAGTGCATATTTAAGGCAAAAATTCCCATGAAGATTATCATTTAGAAGGAATGATTGCTTCTTCACTGCAACACTCTAAACTTACTCGTGCTTTAATAGTTTGTTATTTGAAATATGGCTTGTTAAAAGATAGAGATCTCAGCTTTTGAAATTGCATCTGTTAAAATCTGTTTCCACAAGTTTATTCCAAAGCTTCTATTTGCTTTGCAGCAGGCTGAATGTTAGCTACTGCTCCACAGTGCTTTTGGTCAAAATATTCAGCAGCTTCCCAATCAATATTTAAGTAAATTTTTTTGAACGCCGAATTTACATTTTCCCATCTATGAATTTAATATTCTTCAATTCCCTCGCTCCAAAGTCATTGCCTCCCATATATTAGGAAGCAACCAGGAACATATGTAAGCAAGGGAATCTGTAGTTGATTGATGGTCAGATATATTGTCAAGGATCCTGATGCAGCCTTTATTTTGGCAGACTGACAGTCTCAGTCAGATGATTTGTTGTTATTGGAAATGTGGTTTCATCCATTGTGGAAGAGGTAGGGCWAAGGATGGTGTCTAAATTAAAGGCTCCAGAGGGAGTGAAGGAAATGTTGTGACAGGGGGAATAGTCCTTGCTCCTGTGTCTTTGGCAGAATCTTGGAGCAGTAAGAACAGTGAGTGGTCTGGGCTCTTCACAAGCCTTTCAGTATCTGCTCTAGGATGTGATTGGGCCTCTGCATTTTAGTGTTAGAGTGAAGCCTTATTGCTCCTGCCTATAGACAACTACATATATGTGGAAGGAAGGGAGGGAGAGGGGGGGAACGGAAGGGAGAAAGGATTACATGTATATTTTTAAGGTATAGCTGGTGCTGCCAAAAGTGGCTGGTGACAGTTCAGTTCTTGTTGTGACCTGAAAAGCTCTCAGTCTGACAGGTAGCACTGCTAGATCCAATCTGTTTTGCCCCCAAAGTCATTTTTTCTAGTCCTTTTGGACAGAAGAGAGCGCTCCACTGTCTAAATGCCACCCAAATTCAACTCTTTTATCCTTCTGTTCTGTGACAGGTAACCTGGGGTCGCAGCTGGTTGAATATAAAGAAGAGATGTACATAACATCGGACTGTGGGAAGACGTGGCGCCAGGTAGGAAAGCAGAAGTACTCAAAGGCACCTGGAAATAATTTTATTGTACCCAATGTGATGAATATTACCATGCTTAACTAATCTTTATGTTTTTTGAGGCAGGTGGCTATTATCTGTATTTTGTTTGGAAGCTGCAAGAGATTAAGGAGATTTGCAAAGCCTGAAATGGGCTGTTCTGTCAGGCTCTACTGCTACTCAGAAAATATTGGTCTTTACAGATATTATCATAAGTATCTTGCACACACAACAGAGTTTCCTTAGTTTTAAATAATTTAAATGACCATCCTATGCTAATGATGAAGTCAGTGTCGGCTAGTTTTAACAGCATCACATTCCAACCAGAAAGGAAAAGGATAAAGGAAGGTAAAAGGTAAAAAGGAGGACACTTCTGTTTCTTAATCTGAAAACTTATGTTTGAGCTTCTACTTAACTTGGTGATGCCTCGAACCTGAAAAAACAAAAAAAATTGAAAAATCTACACACCTTTGAGTGTATTTTAATATGATTTAATGAATTCTGGGACTATAAATATCAAAGTAATTAAGAAAAAATCCTGCTGTAATTGTAATGCCATTTGAACTTTGAACATCTTTTAATGGCAGTGCTTGATGCTGGCTTAAGTGCTCTGCCTTTATGACATATTTTATCCTAAATTACTCTTGTCCTATCTATGTTTGATCCTGAGGATGTTTTCTTTTTGAATGTTGAATAACAGCTTCAATAATGATGATAGAACTTAAGTTCTGAAAACTCTTTACAATGTTTATCCAGAAAGGAAAGAACCCTCAAAGCACAGAAGTGTGTCATAAGATCATTTAGTTTCAATTAAAATACTATTTTAATGTTYATCTTAAAAGAAATCAGTTGTGTTATTACCTGAGAATAAGTAAGTGTGAAGATGCTCTCACTACTGTTATTGAGCCCAGAGAGAGGGTGAAAAGAGAATAGTGTATTCTTATATTGATGTTTCTTATATTGCCATTTATACTTCACAGAAGAGCTTTATAAAAGAAATATATATATTTTTGTCATGGTAATGCCCTTTGAGTTAAAAAAAAAAAAAAAAAAAAGCTTTAATGCCATTTTTTGGCATTCTAGTGGATGGTATTTAAATGCAAAAACCTTAAAGAATTTGGAATGTATGCTGTGCCACATGATACTGAGCATGAGCTTTTGTAACGATTTAGTGTCACCATTTTCTGAAGTTCTGTATTTTTCCTGGGTGAAAAGTAAGAAAGAAAGAGTGAAAGGGATCAAATTCATATTCCCACTGCTTTTATTTCTGAGACATTCAGGCAAATGAGATGTGATGAAAATCGATGTTAAGATTCAGGCTGTAAAATCACTCACAAACTGATCCTCATTATTACAGTCAAAATGAAAAGCATTGCTGCTTTCTTTATTTTAATTAAAACTGCTGTGAAGTCTTTGAAAGCACATAATATTTGTGACCAGAATGGAAATATAGGTTTTCATCAGGTTTATGACTTTACTGTTTGTGATCAAACAGTTCTTACTGAAGCTGCTGTACTTTTCCTTTCTCAGGTAAAGTTCCTGAAATGTTAGATATTTCTATTCTATTAGATAATATTCTATTAGATAATTAAATAATTCTATTAGATAAAATTATATTAGATAATGTGGATATTATTTAGAGGAAATTACTGTTCCCCTTAGCAGRCAAAATAAGAGCAAAGTTTTTGCTCTTATTTTGTGACAATTCTGAGGTTGGGTTTAAGTCACTGACTTGGAAATGGCAGTTGAGATTCCTGAGCACTTATCACCTTTCTCACATCCCATACTTACTGCTTCAGAGCAGTCTACAAACTCTACTAGMGGAAAAGCAGCTTGTGCTTGTGCAGAGAGAGCAATACAGAAAAGTAAATAAAAAATATAGAAGTAGAAGGAAGATCAAAGATCATGCAGTCCAACCCCCTGTCTGGGCCAGCATCAGATATACCTATAACCTCTGTAATAGGGGTTTGCCTGACCTGTTCATTAAACCCTCACTGAGGAGATGCTCCAGGCTTCATTTGTAGTACTTGCCCATTCTTTGTAGATGTTTCTGAATCATTAATATAGACTGTCCTTATTTTTGCTCTTGATATTGCAGTTTCATAAATTTTGAGAGTTAAGCTTATCTGTTCTAGTCTTTGGAGAGCAGTGGTTTTCTGTCACTTGAGAATAACCTTMTAGATATTGAAAGGTCATTATTGTGTCTACTCGTAGTTAGGAAAAAAACCCACAAACTTTTAGAAACTTGTTTGAAACAAACTTTTAGTTAGGAAACAAAAACAATGTTTCCTATATCGGGTCGAATTTCTAAATCTCTTTTCCCTCTTTTTGTTTTCTGATTCGTACTCCTTTATCTGTCATGCCTTTCTTGGAGTATGATCAAATTGAATTACAAATGTTAACAGTGCTAAATGCAATGAGATGGTTTCACCTAATGTCTGGATATTACTGACAACCTAAATCAGCAGTTTTCTTGTTTTATACAATAGCATCACATTATTGACTGAGATTCAGTTTGTAAACTAAAATTGGAATCGGGTTCTGCATCACAGAATTTGTATAAATGATCGAGTTAACAACAATCCATTGCTTGGTTTCCTTTAATAATTTCCTAGCTATTTGTGTACACTTCTTACAATCATTTCAACTAAACCCATACTTACCTAGTTTGCCTGTGGTAATGTCCCATGGAAGGGTTCGTGAAGACTTAAAGTGGTGGGATATATAGCTAGTGTTGATAAGCAGAAATAAAAAATATCTGAACAAGAAACCACTGTGAAATTAAATAAATACTTCTGATAAATTGAAAAGTAAAAGAAGGCTTTTGATGGGGAGCAGCCAGAGTACAACTTRGGCTGGCTTCAGATTTTCCCCTCTGATACGTGATGCTTGAGCTGCTTGTGGATGTCTCTTGAGAACATTACTTTACATTGCTTTTAACATTTTAAGACATACTGCAATTCGTGACTTTGTACTGTACAACACTACATAGCAAAATAGCAATAGTTCAGGAGCTGATTGACAAGCAGTTTAAATGTCCATGCAACAAGAGTCRTCTGGACTTAGTGCAGGAGAGGGGAATTTAATCTTGACATTACCATAGATAGGCATCTTGGGAAAAGTGACCTATATTTGAATAACATTTCAGACTGTCCTGGTTTTACACATTTTTTCCCTCTGGGGACTATTTTTCTTTCTCTTTTTTTTTTTTTTTCCTTCTTTGGTCTTCATTTTTGAGATGTGAGAATAGCCTGTTAAACACTGAACATGGCCCTGTGTAAACATCTGAGTACTGAGTCTGTTTTNTTTTTTTTTTTTTTTTTTAAGAACTGATTTCTGTTCACATTTATTGTTACCACTGCTATTTCAACAGCTTTTGTTAAAACATTGTGCTTGAAACAGAACACACACAGTTAGTCAGAGATCTGGTTTTCCAAAGAAATGGCTTAAAAGTAAAAAACACTTACAAAACTTTCATGTTTGTTCTGTTAGAAAAGTAGCCAGTCAAGACACAGAATGGTCAATTAATCTTCCGAGATTATAAAGAAAAGCCTGTTGTGTGTCTAGGATCTGAACTTAGATCTCTGGATACAGGAACAAACAGAAGAACGAGGGAGAGAAGTTGACACTATTATTATAAATTATCAAAAAAAGAAGAAAACATAAAAAATATTAGTTMTAGAATAGCTAACTACTGCTGGGAATCATAATAAATGTCCTAGATTAGTTAGTGGAAAGATTAAAATTTAAATATCAGAATTCTTGGCTGCCTGTAAACACACATATTGCTTGTTTCTCTGTTCTAACTTAAGCTCTGAAACCAGGGCCACCTTTGCATAGTTCCCTTACAAACTGCTTTTCTTGGTATTGTTCCTACAAAGTAGAGACAAATACTCAACTATACAGACAAATGCATGCAACTTCATAGGAGTGAATTCTTTTCAACATACTGGAGATGAGAATTTGCTTTCAAAAGGAACTKACTGTATTTTGGATATAAAATGTTTGAAGTGTGTACAAGTAGAGGATGACAGAAAGATCACAGTCATACGATTAGGAAATGTGCAGGGTGCCTTCTGGTGTGCCACAGTTCACGGGGGTAAAGCTGGGGTATTAAAATGGTGCACTAGGACATGCCATGTCATTTTCCAAGAGCAACAGGGATAAACCTAATTGGGATGAAGTGATACAGATGCTGGGTTTTGTTATCATCGATATGAGGGTGAAGCTTTCAGAGACTTTATACCCCAGCATATACTGTTTCATCTTGAGTTCAGCAGAAGTTCAAACAGAGTTTGGAGAAAAATCRAAACTTTGCTTGCTTATCTGACTCCAAGTGATCTCATCCTTTTGAGATACATCTAAAATTAACAACTGTCCTTTACTGAATTCCCTTCTAAAATTCACAGCTGTGTGGAATAAATAGATAGGACTGTAAATGCCTCATATAAGGGTTTGCCTGTAAACTGGCAGCACTGAAAAGCTAATCATATACTTGAAGCTCTAGAATTCCTATTAAATAATATTGGATGAGAGAAGGATTTTCATTTTGAACCCGAATGAAATGCTTACTATTTTTGAAGTAATTGTAAATGTTCTGCAATAAAAAGATTTTCCCCCTTCTGGTTCAGTCTTTTACTGATAAATCCTGTAAATGTCTAAAAAGAGGTATTGTCAGTATTTTCTCATTCAAGAGGCAAAGTTAACCTTTATGTTTTTCACTTTTGCTTTCTCAAAACGTGTGGATTCTGTATGTTGATTTATWAGATGCTAAGTTTATAGTAGCTCTCACTTTTATCACCTGCTTTTATGTTAAAGGAACTTTCTCAGACTACTAGTGTGAGTAAAATCTGTCTTGCAACAGGTTTTAGATATGAAAGAGGAAAGGTGTTTATCTGTTCATTTATTTTAGTACTGCTGATGACCTCCAGAAAAAAAMCTAGGAAATTCCGAATCCTTTGTATTGCTGAGTCACCATTATATGTATTTTGATTCTAAACTCAGAGTGGCTTCATTGTGAGATCCCATAAAGTTTCAATTTAAAATGCTGTTAATACTGAAAATGCAGAATATGCCTGTGCCAATTTCTTAAAGTTTTACAGAGTCTGGAGAACATGTGAGAGAGTCACAGATAACAATAGTTTTATAGTGTTCCTTTTTTTATTTCCTCATTTTTCACTTATTTTTGTAAGATTCACAGAGTATRTATGAAAATAAGATGATAGATCCCTTAGTGATCTGTAATAGGAAAGCATGCAGAATACACACTGTGAAGGACATTGTTGGGCTGAGATCATGGTAGATAGTTAAATCTGACTATCTGATAGTTACATTTGAGTTGGAATGTTTTCTGATTCACCTGCTTCATTTTTTTTTCTATTACAGATGAGGTAACTATACAAATTAAGTCGACTTTTATGTCCTTTCTAATTTAAATTGCAGATATAAAAGCTAAGTCTTTAAGCATGGTTTGCTCAAACTCTTCTGCTGTTTAATATATTTGCTTAACTGGCCTTTTTTTTTTCTGTCTGGCTTTCAGGTCTTTGAAGAAGAACATCACATCTTGTACTTGGACCATGGTGGAGTAATTGTCGCCATCAAAGACACTTCGATCCCTCTGAAAATACTCAAGTAATGCTGCATTCAGTTAAAGCAGAACTGTTGCATATTCAAGATAAAGTTCAGAGTTTAAGATGAGCATTTCACTGTAATCATGTTAGAAATACAGGTGGAATCAGATGAACCAAACATTCATTAAGTCAACAAAATGACCAACTCCTGATGCAGTTGGTACCATAATGTGCTGGATACCATAATAAATTATTATATCATCCGTGTRAATATTTTTTGCATAAAAGACTGTGCTAGTATTTTTACAGTACAATTTATAGTACATGTGTTCTGCACAGTTGTTATCTGCCAGTGGTTTGCAGCAGCAGTACATGGCAATGATGCTGAACTTAAGCTACATAAATACCGAAGGTGTCTATCAGAGTAATTCACAATATAATCAAGCTCTGTCTCCTTTAAGGGCCACTGAGATTGAAGGTGTTGAAGAACAATATGATAGAAGTTTCTAAAGCYAGCGAGAAAATGAATGATGTGTGCTAAAATACTTTGTGAAACAGTTACGCAAGAAGCGTCATGCTCCTGAGAAATGCATGCACAGAGTAACTGTTCTGTGCAGTGTAGATCATGTGATATAATAGGGATGCATTATTTAGCTTTCTGAGGTTATTTGTCTGGAAAAGTTTGGTGCTACAAAAGCATTTTGTTATAAAATATCAAGTTCTAAACTGCATGATAATTACACAAAATATGGTAATCTTATTTAATAGCATACCAAGTTATCTTTAACCTTATGGAAAGGTTAGAAGGTCTTTTAGTACTTCTGATTAGACTCATTTGTGCATAATCCTCTTTAATAGGAATTTATCTGTGTATTTAATTATCTGGAATAAAAGTTAACTCAAGTATCCAGAAAATTCAGTGGAAAGGTACACAAGAAAATAGTTTTTTGAGTCAGAATGTTTGGGCATAGTGGAGTTGCCCAGAGTGTCTGAAACACTTTTTGCTGAATCTTTTTGCAAATGAAAGTATGTTTTGAAAGCATTTAAGTGAATGGTAAGAACTGTGACGGGCCGTCTTGGTGCCTGTAGTCCCACATGTTCTGGCAGTTGAGCTGTTTTGCCTGCTCGTGTCTCAGTGACCTTTGCCTAACAGGTCTCTAGGTCTGAGACTGCTAGGGAGAATTAACTGGCTCTTGAACCCACAAGGCAGCAGAATGATTTGTTCTCAGACCTCAGTGTTTATTTGCTTGAGAGTACCCCTGTTTTTGCAAGTTTATTATACATCCTCTAATAAAGACATGAGCTCCTGGATATGTTGCTGAAAAAAAAGATCAGGATAATGAACTAGACTAACCAGGCAAACTGTATTTTGATTATATTAATCCTAGGATTTAACTCATGAATATTTTTGAAGTAAATTCTACTTAATATAAAACTTGGTGTAAATAAAAATTGCTGCTGCTTTTTTCATAGGTTCAGCATAGATGAAGGCCAGACCTGGAGTACACACAATTTTACCAGCACTTCAGTCTTTGTGGATGGACTGCTTAGTGAACCTGGAGACGAGACACTAGTCATGACGTAGGTTTTCATTTTCTTCTCTTTTTCGGGATTCTGTCTGCTAATGTGATCGAGCATGTTTTTAATTGTGGGTGTTTGAGATAGTCCTTGAGTTAGTGTTTTGTTGCTTGCAGTTGCACAGGCTTTTACACTGATCATGTCTGAAGAGCACAAGTAGGCAGCCTGKCTTTCAAATTATGAGTGAGATATTTCAAATTATAAGGATGAACTATTATGCTTATATTGCTTATAATATGAAATATTATCTTTCATGGTCATTAGAGAGAATGGAATAATAAGATTACAAATATGAATTTGAGAAATATAAATAAAAATACCTGTTTCCTGATTTTTTTTTTCTATTTATACTCACAAATTCTTAGAGTTCACAAAATGTTAAATACCTATGCTATTTTCTGGGAAAATTGTCTTTTATATTGTTGCCCTAGTAACTAGCATCGCAGTAGTTTATGTAACAAAACTGTGGAAAAAGCAAGTTTTACTTCTGTGCAGTGATTGTGGCAGATTCTGTGACTAGAGTTAAAAATAACCAAAAKCTGCAGTTCAGGCCCATGTTTCTCTGTCTTTTCCCCAGAGGCCATGGGCATCTGGATCTGAGCTGCAAGTTCTTCTCTAGGATAAATGCTGATATTTTAGAAGTCCTTGAGAATAAAAAATACCTGTCTAATTTGAGACAAAGGTACTTGATAAGTGCAGTAGTAGTAGGAATGAATGCAGGAAAGAAAAACCCCATACTTTGCACTCAAAGATGTGCAAGATGTTGCATTTGCTTGTATCACTTAGAACAGCTTGTGCAACCTGTGGTATATTAGTGTGTTCATGACAAGCTTTTTCTCCTACGAGTTACAAATAAAGCTGTCTTTGATGTGTACCAGTAGTACTTCCCCAGGAGAACAAAAACAAACCAACAAAAAACCAATAGCTCAGCACAGGAGTTGTATGAATGATTTGCAGCAAAAAAAGAAATTCAAGCCAATGTACTTAAAAATATTATGCCATATTCCTAATGTTGTACTCCACGGGGGTGAATTTGGCCTACTATTCATTCTTCCTTGCTCCATTGTCTTATTTCCATTACACATTCTGCTATCTATATATGTATCTTCTGTTAGAGATATATATATATATATACACGCACACATATATGTTTATATATATGATCTGAGATGAACAAACTTTATTGTTCTACCATCTACCTATTCTTTAAACCATAGGTTTATATGATATTATATCATATATACCACATAAACAGAGGATGTCTCTGAGTGAAAGATTTTCATCGATTTAAATGGAAGTGCAGAGATCAAAGGCTTTTCCTATACTGTAGTTTTAGGAAGATAAAGGAGTGGGTGATGACTGTATGCTGTATTTTCCTTTTAATTCATAAAAAGCAAGAGGCTTTTTATGTATGTATGTAAATATCTGGCTGTATGGGCCAAAGAGATGGTGCAAAACATGATATCTTTTAAAATAATCCATCAGAAATATACCAAATCGTAGGTGAGTTTGGTACGTGAGCTTAAGCAGACACAAAAAGCATCATATAACGTGTGTGTTTCTAAGGCCAGAAGAAATGAATCTGATTCCAGCCAGGCTTAAATCCAGTAGAGTAGGATCTTAGTTTACATTAGTTCCACTGATCATGGAGCAGGTAGACCACTTAGTACCACAGAGCAGCCCTACAAATACTTGGTGCTTTTCTGTCTGTCTTTAAACAAAACCAGAGGAATAAATGTGCAATACATGTTCTCCTTTTGCCACTTTGTCAGCTTCCTTACCTTTCCTACTGGCTTTTTGTTAGGTTTTGCCTTCAGGGTGACAGTGTCCACCTAACATTTGTTATTTCTTTATGTCATTGTTGATTTCTTTTTAAAACTTTGCATGTGTCACTGGATATGACTTGACTGAACTGATCTACAGTGATTTGCTGCATTTGAGAGTTGAGACACAATCCTTGTCTTAAAAAAAGACATCTTTTCCATTTTATTAGAAGGAAATGACTGGAGTGTTATTGGGGGGAACACTAACTTGTATATGGCAAGATATYCGCATGGTAAAGGAAATAAGTTAATACAATGTCTTTCATCCTGAAGAATCCCCAAATCCGTTTCTAAGAACTTGAACAGGTTTCTCATTTTCTCTCTTTTATAGGAGCTTTGTTTGAATATAGTCTAATGTCAAAAGCTACATAAATTAACTTAGTTAAGATAATTCTGGGAGGGTAGTAACTGAAAGAGTATTCCACCAGGAATATGGTCAAACAAAGACTAATTCATTTAAAGCTGCTAGTGCCAGTCATGAAAGGGTCAAAAAATGTTTTACTTGTACAGAAATTAGCAGCTCCAAAAGGGTGAAAATTCCGGTACCACTGAAGTCAGTGTCAGTGGGGTAGGAATTTCCTTCTAGGTTTTTAAGATTCTGTTRAAGAAAAATCTATCAGAAGATTGTCTGGGAAAAGACGTTGAAGGATCTGGTAGCACTACATCTGAGAAAGACATTTTATTTTTTCTAGCACAGTGACTAGAGTATTCATCTGAATTTCTTTTCTGTCCTAACAAATCTAAAGTGGTGCAGTTGGAAAAGCTGAACTGAGGAAACAGGGAATGTGAACCTCAAGCCTTCATTTCAGGAAGTATTGTGTTTTTTTCAAAACAGAGGAAAAACAAATGTTGACTTGTCAAAAGTTTTTGGAAAAATGAATTGTCATCAACCAGTCAGCATTAATCAAAATCATTTAATCCCACTCTTCCACAGTAGTCTAAATGTGTACTTCCAGCTGCCAAAGAATATTTTATTCCATATTGTTCTCTAGTAGATCTAGTTAGGAGTTATAAGTGTCTTGAGCAATAAAATATTTGTAAAATTAAGGAAACAGTTTCTTCATATCAGCCAGATATCAAAGTCTTCCTTACAGGAATCTTTCAAGAGAGATGTTTTCTSAAGTCTTGCAGAGTAACATCTTAATGTGTTGTTGGGATCTTCCTGACACCTTTGAATTATAGCAGTTCTGTGTGTGCATGTCATTCTTGCAAATCTGATTTTACATTCCCGTTAGTTTCCTAGCAAAGAAGGGACACAAAAGACTGTCAAGTTTAAACTCCGTCCAAGCAAGGTGGGCATGGTAAAATAAGATTAGATATTAGGGAAAAACATCTAAAGAGCTGTGTTTTTACTGATTCTGCATAGGGATGTCAACATGGGCTCTTACCAGTATGTAGTTTTTAGGCTTTCTGGCAGCATGCTGCCTTTCCTGCTGCCTCTGCATTTCTTACTGGGTGCAGGAATTGCTCTCTGCTGTGAATTCKTCACTGCAAGCTTCCCTATACTGCAGCCCTAAGAAATTCAAAGTAGCTGAGTAGTAGATAAAACCTCCTCAAGTGGGAGGATAGCTGATGTCTTAAGGCAGATACTAGGTTTTCTTTGCATCTGCATAACCTCATATTTGAATGTAGTTTGAAGAAGCATTAATCAATTGTGAAATTGTACTTTTTACGTAATGAGAAACATATCCAGCTGTCTGTAGGCGGAGGAAATGTACACAGGTAGGAAATGRTGACCTTGTCAAAATAACACTGGCAAAACAGGATTGCTCTATTTCAGCCTAATCTAGATGTCAGCTAATCTAGACATCCATATATCAGTTTAGTTCCAGCTAATTCTGTTGCTGACATCTCAGTGAAGACACATTGGCGTTTTCAAGCCGCTGTATGGTAGTGTCACTACTTGTAGTCTTAGTGACAAGAACATGGGACTGCCCTATCCTCTCCCTCTGCTCTAAAGAACTGCAGTGGGTAATGCTTTGTGTTTGTGGTATTTGTGTTTTTTTTTTTGTTTTGTGGGGTTTTGTTTGTTTTCTTTTTTTTCTTTTCATAAAGTTGACTTTCACACCCATTGGCATAACATATTCAGAAGCGTAGGATCCCAAGACTTTTGGTGCCTTGCTACAGCCCACATTTAGCATATTTTGAAGTCAGACCTGAAAATATGTTTGAATAAAATGAGTTGAAAGATTAGGAACTCAGGGTCTGTAAGAATCCTCATTTGCCTGCCTATACCTAGAGACTTGTAAAGGGACAAAAAGGGTGACACAGTGACCTTTGTGTTTGGACAAGTGGGAGGACATATTATTAAGCAAGGGCGATCTTCCACTTTAGGTTTTAATTATAATCAGTGGTGCTAATAATCTAAACATTTGAAACTTTGCCCTACAATAAAATTATTTACRCACTTTGGTTACTTTTGGATGGGGCCTTGAACTCTTCTCAAAATGAAGGGGCCGCAATTTAAGTGAAGGGGCTACAATTTAGGTGAGCGTAAGCCATTTGCTTCAGGCCTGTAAGTAAAGTCTGGATGAAAAAAAATCTTCCTTGTGGCAAGGGATCTGCTTGTTAAATGTGTGAGTAAAGAAAAATGRAAGTTAGTATTTACTTAAAATGCTAGTTATACTGATAAATTGAATTTTTAAGATGATAGCAGACAGCTGAATGATGTAAAGATATCCTTTATAGTGTCAGATTTCTCCTTAGCTGAAAGAGAACTGTTCTTGAAAAGGATTTTACCAAATATATGCAAAAAATGTTGGACGTAATTCACAGACATTATGGAGCTACTAAGCTGCATAAAATGTGAGCAGCCTGTTCCTGATCTTCACCATCAGTTCTCGGAACCTAAGCATTCATTTACATTCCTCTTCTCTCCAAAAGACCTCAAATGAAGATATTTTGGCATAAAAGAATGATTGTCAATTTTTTTTTTTTCTGGCAGGAAACAATGAAAAAGCATGTTTTGGTTCAATTTCAACTAAATTGTTTCCTCCCCTCATTTTTCACCTTGGCAGACAAACCAGACGAAGAAAAAAACAAAACCCAATATTAAATAGATGCATGTGTTTGTAGTTTAAGGCCCTTAAATCATAAGTGTCTCGAGGTATTTGCACATAATATGTTGTGTACACAAGCACTGTTTATACAAAGTTATTGTATATGCCGATTATGTAGGCA